CTCTTCGCCTGTTCCAGGCCTGCCTCTTCTGTTCTTATGGGCTTCCGCAAGCAACGTTAGGCATTTTGGCCCGGCTTCAAACCCTTCCCAGCGCCTTTGGCCTACTCCTGCATCGCAGCCTTGCCTGCGTCAGGCGGGAGCCTGGGGAGGGAGCCTCTGGAACGTGCAGCCCGTGCACTGCAGCTACAGACGGGCCGCCACCGGAACTACACAAACGCCTTTAGTTACACGTGCTACACTCCTCCTGAAAGGGGGGTCGGCGGCACCCGGGCGAAGCCCTTACAATATGCTAGCCGGTTGACAACCGGGCTGGTAGTCGTACACCTTTTTATCAAACCACAAAGATTTTGTGCGATCTCGTTGCTCTTGGACTGACAGCTATCACCTGCATTTGTGTTCATTGTGACTCAGGGCAACCTCTTTCGTCTTCATACGTATTCAGAGTTCCTTCTTGTGTGTCTGGACCGGAATTCCCGTGCGTTTTGGAATTGTTGCACTCGTCGGTGGTAGTGTATCGGATATTCTTGGAAGATGATGCGATTGATGCGACATGCACAAGCGCTTTGAAAGATGGAGGAGTTAATTACGCTGGATTGGAAGATGATATGAGGTGGAGGTCTAATTACTTTCGATTGGGTGCGCGGTGAATTACATTTTGGTTCACATGCTGCTGCAGCTTGCTCTGTGTTTCTCTCGTGTTTTTGGCGCTGAACGCTTTGAGGATGTGGAAAAGAAACCCGCATTCTCAAGAGAGACATGTGGGTCACTAGAGTTTTTCAATTTCATGTGTGGCTGTGGCGAAATTGCAAAATGCTCCGGAAAGGCCCTAAAAAGTGCATGTTCAGGTGATGACTTTTGAGGGAAATGTGTGTTTTGCCACAGCGAAACGCGAGTTTGAACCAAAAAGCCATGGAGATACGACGTGCATGCACAATATGTGCGAAGTCACATTTTCCGAACGCAGGCTTTAAGTATATTTCTAGTCTAGATTTTAAGTATACTGAAATCAAGATTGAGAACCCAAAAGACAGTAAGCGCAGTTGTCCACTCGGCGGGATGTTTATGTGTCTTCTCCAAATGGAGACTCCATGGGCCCCATGGGGGTCCGGTCTGCGGAAGGTTGAGAGACAAAGCTCGGACAGTGGGTCCAAGCCGCTCAGCATGAGTGGCATGGATAGAAAGCAAGAACACAATAGCCTGCAAAGAGCACCCAAGTGTGTGGCTAGCCCAGCCTATGGCTGTGTTTGCTGTCTGCTTGGCCAAAAATACCTCGAAACATCAGCATGGTACAAGTACAAAAGCATCCTCTTGCGGGCTGCGTGTTGCTAGTGAAGGCAGGGTAGCTTTGCAAAGCTAGATTCGATGTTGTGGAGTGAACTAATTGTAGATTAATTTGACAAGGTCTTAAGCCCCAGCCCAAGAAAACAAATACCAACTCAACTCCACCGCCACCTCCACCTATCACTCCACCTATCTTATATTCACAAGCAGAGTCACGCAGCAGCCACGGAACCTTACCAAGCTGGGTGTCGCCACTGGCTTTGCCCGCGTTGATGCTCTTGAAGCTCTAGCTTTCAGAAGGACTTCACACAGCTCCAAGGCCTGAGGCTACAAAAGTATTCTCTTCCAACACCGAGGCCTTTCAAAATGATTTCTAAATTATAATTGTACGTGTCAACGGAAACCATATTGGACCCGGAAGCGCTTCGAATCTTCAAACACAGTGTGAATTTGGAAACAGCTGAATATGGCAACCGCCCGAACTTCATGATTCATGATAACATCAGAATACATCACTCATTTTGGTGCCGCAGTGTCTGAGTGCACCAGACTGGTTCAGGTTCTTCACAATCACGCTCTCCTGATGACTCGATGACTGCCTGGCATCGCTGAGGACAGTGCAGTCAACCCAAAATCTCGCAGGACATTCAGGACATTCCACCCCCGTACAGTACAGTCAGTCCCCCAGGTTTCTTTGGATCCCGCTGTGCCTCCAGTGGAGTACGTCCAAAGGCATCCGACACCTCTGGGTTCGCCTCAACTCGGAGCTGTGTGGTTGCCCCACCGCAGTGTACCTCATCCTAATTGCAGTGACTTCAATGAGCCAACCCACCATGTTGTTCAGTTGCATGCTATTTGCAGGTGATCCGGTGATCATGACAAAGAATCCAGCGGGATGGGACGACGCTCGTAAACATATTGACACAACAACCAAGCTCCAATCCATGAAGCTGCATCATGATACCGCGTAATAATAACTAAGTAGCAGTAGCCTCTTCCTCTGCGGTTTTTTGCGGAACATGTCCATTGACCGCCACCACCCCGGGTCATAGCCATTTTTCCACGACAGTGGTTGCCTTCAACTTGATTCCACGACAGTGCAACAACATTCGGAGCATGTTCAAGGCCAGGCTTGGGCGCAGTTTGGCACACGGAATGACTGGGTGTGACTGTTCACTTCCTGTCTCCAAGTTCTTTTCTTGGTTGCCCTGCAGAGGCGTCCAAGAGGTTCTGCACTGCCTGCCAGGCCACTGGGGCCACTGGTCTATGACACTTTCCACATGGGAATCTGAGCCAGCTGTGCGGTTTAAATTTCAACGAGGCAAATGTCGATGTATATAGGGAGGACGTGTTCAACATCATTTCTTTCAAGCAGGACGGTAATTATGTCCTTGGCAGCATCCCTGGCATCGGGCCATGTGGCACCTTGGGCTGGCTTGGATGGAAGACTTCTCTTCGCACAAATCTCCACTGCCATGTTCCTGCTTCATTTGACCTGGCACTGCCTTGTGCACAGTATGTTAGTCATTGAGCTTGCTGTTGCAAGCGGTTGTAGGTCTTAAGTTCATTCACTACTGACATGGCCATCTGGGACATGTTATGTAGTCCGACTGGGATTGCCAAAAAACCAGCGATGAATACCTTGCCCTTTAGGCGAATGTGGAAGATCCTGGCTGATTATGGTTTATTAGCGTGTTTCTGTGGCAAACAGGCTGGGAGGGAGGAGGCAACTCAAAACCAAAATCCTGGCTGCCCCCACATAAGTGGAGCAAAGTGCGCCCACTGCCATCACTCTCTGCCAAGATCTGCAAACATGGACCACGGCCAGACAGCAAGTTCGAGTGTATAGAAATAAACACCAAGCAAATATATATATATTATATATATATATATGATTATATATGTGCACGGACTTATCCTACTCTCCCAAGGTCCACCAACCATTTTCCTTCTAAGAACCCAACAAAGCCACAAAGCTTCACAACGCTTCGCATACTTTTTTTTATGCGTGTCGGGTGATTGTGCATACTGCACAAGCTCCAAGTCAACATCCGCGCCTCCTGTAAGTCCCATGAAGCTAAATCACGCAAGACTTCTGCCAGGCGCTCAGGGTCGGAGGCCTGGCATGTTAAGCTGGGTCACCCTTGACAGGCGGGCCAATTCAAATCGCTTCATCTCATTTCGTCTACCAACACCAGGGACCTGCACTCGTTGCTGTATATCTCGGCCGCCGGTTTTTCCAGACGCTTCTTTCCGGGACCCTCACCCGCACAGCAGCTCGCAAGCTTGCCCGGAGGTCAGGCCTCGGGGCTAAAGGTCAAGCCTGGAATTTGTCACAACTGACGACATGTCTCCCTTATATATCACCTTCTCATGTTCATTTTGTGTGTGCGGGGGCCGCCCTCAATTCGCTTGTCTTACTTGTCAGGCACTTGTCAGGAGCCCGCAAAGAATTTGTCATTTGGCTCCATGCGTAATTAAGTGTGGAGCTATGGAACTCAAAGGTGTAGGCGCAATCCAAACACATACATCGGGCACACCACACCAAGATCAACTTTGGATCAATTAAGGTGAGCACGCCGCATCATCTATCAGATTCTCAGGGCTTTCCGAAGAAACGTGAGTAGGTCCTGAGACATGCGAAGAAAAACACATCAAACGGTGCTTCATCATTTTTCTCTACCAAGACTCTGAGGCACATGAACTGAACTTCCCGAAGACTGAATCAATCGGGTTCTCAATGAACGCTATGCAATGGGGACCCCTGCTGAGTGAATCGAGATTGAGGACCCCGAAGGCACCACCTTGATGCCTGAGCAAAGCCCAGCAACTTACAGAGCCTCCAATCTGAAGAGACTCTGACGCTGGTTTCTCTCATGTGTGTTGTCTCAAAATGTTCGATCAAACATGACCAAACCTCGTTCACAAACATTTAGAGGGCAACACCTCTTCCACAAGGCCGCAGGAGAATCGCAGTCGACACTCCTTTTGTGGTTCGGCTTGGAAAGCGTCTGTGCGGTTCGCATCTACGGCTCTGAGCGTTTTAAGGCATTCACCTTTCATTTTGAGAACTCATCATCTGCAACTAGTGACAAGAATGATTATATGGCAAGTATTGCAGTAGTGTAACATGCGGAAGCTCAGCGAACTCTTTGAATTGTGGCTACAGGTCTGCAAGGAAGCACTGGCCACAATTGTGCAAAAGCCACGCAACTGTGACTTTTCACAGTCGCGTGAAGAAGCTGCCCCATGTGATGCTGGTGCTCACCTCAATGACTCAATGAAAGCAGCGTTTGAACAGGCTGAGATCATGAAAAGAACAAACACATCGCCAAATCCGTGAAATAGGATGAAGCGAGCAAAAAAGATCAAACAACTGCATCAAATGACCCGACGCCGAGGTCTAATGTCACAAACCAGGGCAGTGAATGACAACCCGAAGGCTTCGGTTGTGCCTCGAAAGTAAGTCTACTGTGGTGTGAACTCAGCATCCCGGTGTCATGTCTCATGCATGTTGCACCATGTTGCTCATCCAAGTTGCGCTGCGAATTGAGGGCAAAATCCTCGTCACGAGATGCCTCACAAGCCGGGCTGGCCGCACGATGTCCCAAGTTGCAATGGGCTGCGCACACACACACACACAGCATTGGCATGCAAATGCATTCCAAGGAGCCTGCCAAGCGCAGGGGTACTGCACGAAACCTCTGCGCTGGTTGCATGTCCTAGCATCCAAGGATTCTATGAGCTCAACTGTTGTAGGCAGGTCAGGGACAGGCTGGGTCAACGAGCCCCATATAGGATCACCTCTTGACTTACAGTAGATCTTTACGACCCTTAGAATGATCACCGGTGCTTCCACTGCAGGCAGAAGGTTTGTCTCCGAGGACAAACAGGAAAAAGAACTGAACAAGTGTCAAAGAAGGGAAGAAAAGGAAAGAACATCAACCAAGAAGCAGGTACAAGTAGCTCCTGAACAAAAATGAGAATGTCTGCTATTTATTGCGAATAGACATAGATGCCATAGCCTTCAAATATTCTTAAAATGTGGTCCACAAAGTCCAAGCGCCCGGCCTCACTTGCAGCAGCCGCCAGCACCTTGACCCACCGGTCGCCCTGCACCCAAGGTGGTGCTGCCTGCTCCGCTCTTGGCCTGGCGTTTGAATGCGCCACTTGGCGGATCATTTGGCACCCGGGAATGACCGTGGTCAAAGACTACTAGGGAGGTCATCGCTCTTAGGTTGGAGGCCATCGCTAGTAGGTTGGAGGTCAACCTACCGGGTGAAACTGGATGTTTGAGACCACACCTGAGGCTGTGCGGCGACACGCTGCTTGATTTCGCGAGCCATGGTCTGGAAGGCCTGGCGAGAGCAATGAAACAAGATGCGAAGATGCGTCGCTCAAGGCGCTACTTTAAGTTATATAAATGTTGAAGCAGGGATTCTGTGTCTCTACCGTTGAAATGTGTAGCAACTCTAGGGGGCTGACATGACCCCACATAGTTGTTGACACCCATCACCCATAACCTGTCAATACTGTGTGCCTGCTCCACATTGTGGGCATTCTTGGCGCTGGTCTCCATGAACTGGATGCCAAAGGAATCTGCCAACTCCTGCATGCCAAGCCGCAGCGGCTGGTGTACCGCAAACATTGGCTGAAGCGTGAAAAGCAAAGCTACTAGTAGCGTCCTTGCTCCTAGCAGTAAGGCAAGGAGAAGTAGCGTCCTTGCTGCTAGTAGTAGGGCCAGGAGAGCCTAGTAGCGTCCTTGCTCCTAGTAGCGATGCCCTTTGCTCCCAGGATTATGGATGTATACCTTCGGGCGCCTGAAGCAACGCCATCGCAACATGTTCGAGGACCTCCACCCACGTGTCTCCTTCGCCTCATCATAGGATACCACCTTCTTGGAAGACAAATCGCACTTGTTTCCCACCAAAAGCTTGTTCACTCCATCGGCGGCATACTTGTCGATTTCCTGAAGATCAAACAAGTACTTCAATGGTTTCTCTGCCTTTGCTGTAGTCTACACCTATCGTCTGCATTGAGCCATGATCTAAAAGTAACAGTTGTTTCCTGTTCTTTACCCTGAAAGACCTCAAACCAACCAACGCTTTACTCCATCTTTGTCGCACTTTCAGGAACGCAAACAAATAATCAATTGATTCAATGGTGATTGTAGGAAAACTGCCTGGACCCAGTGCTTCACATTGTTGAAGGACTCTTTGTCCGTCACCTGTAGTGGCACTTCACTGTGACTGATCTAATTAGAGCCCAAGTTGGCGATGCAATTGACATGAATTGACTCTACGGATCACTTAAGTATCTTTCGGAACTATTGGGCAGTGCCAGTGCCTGAGGTTCTGAGGCTGCGACATCATACACAACAATGATGCCATGTGCGCCGCGGTAGTAGCTGCTAGTAATGGTGCGGAATCGCTCTTGCCCGGCAGTATCCCAAATCCTCGGCTGGGTCGGCGTAGTGAAATAATGCAAAGGAGACACGGATTACAATGGGATCCTCACAACCTACGTAGTAGCTGTATAGTAGTTAAGGCAACTGGCAAGAAAGCAGCATGGGCTTGTTGTATGTTGTGGTGTTGAATATCAGGAGTGCCAGGAGTGCCCTGAACTCAACGTCCCTCATTTGCCAAGGGTCTGCAGTTTGATGGTCTTGGCGTCCTGCTCCAAGGTGCGAATCTTGAAATCCACACCAATGGTGCTGATGTAGCTCTCCTGCCGTTGGACTCAGAAGGGTGATGGAAAGAAAAACATATTTGCATATTTCATCATATTTCCGGTGGATGGCAAATACAGTAGAGCGAGTCAACTCCCAACGGACGGCTCTCTGCAGTCCGTGTAGGTGTCATCTGCAAATCGGAGCAAGAGGCAAGATTTGCCAACACCTGACTGATGAAGTTTCTGCTCAAACAGCTGCTCCATAATAATCATAATGTCCAACCTGCATGATGAAGCGTGTAAAATGACTTGCTTCACACAGCTCCAGCCTGAGTCTCCAATCAACAGGAGCTTGAAGAGGTAGTCCTCAGGTGACCCCGACTGATGCCAGCTGATCTCCAACTTTCCATATGAGCTGCGGTCAAAACGGCAAGATTATGTATATACATGTCAGGTATATAAAGCTTGTTTGGTTTCTGTCATTCCTGGCTTTAGCTGTCACGCAGGCACTTTTTGCACGCCCTCTCGTAAACGGTGGCCTGCCATAGCATGTCAAACTTAACACCTCGCAGCTGTCCTAGCCCTAGCAGTCTTGAAAGTGTGGGAGTCAGGAGCGTCAACAGAGATTGGAGTGGAGGTTCGCATGTTACGATGTGATTCGTGGACGATCTTTGTGCAGCAACCTACACGGAACCCACCAAAATGCCCAGTGGCATACTCTGGAGTGGCCATGATGAGGAGAAAGGACGTTCGCCGATTTGGCGCACGGGGTCGGTGTTCCTGCGGGCTCGACGTGTACACAGTGCAATCTACCGTGACAGGGTGTTCAATCAGTGACATGAGAATTCACCATCGCCAGGTCCTCGAACTTGAGAGTGAAGATCACTGCTTGGGCCAAAATACGCCAAGAACGTCTTACACTCAAAGGCACTCTGCATATCTCTGCATGGGGTCTCTCAAGGGCACTCTTGGCCACAGGCGATAGACATATACGGGTGACCAAATGTTACCAACACCGGTCATGGCCTCAACCTAGAAGCAATGACCTCCAACCTAAAAGCAATGGCCTCCAACCTACTAGCGATGGCCTACGTGTGAGTTGTAAAAAGCGGTGCTTTGCTTTCCAAGTTCCCAGGCGCAAGATCCCACGCGGACAGGCCCTGCAAATTCCGCAGAGCTGGGTCTGCTCCTTGGGGGCTCTCCAGATGCATGGTGGACAAGCTACGACGTGTCATTAGCCAGAAGAATGCCAACGAAGTCTCTGACTCTGAGTTCGGAGTTTCAGCTCATGCGGGCAAAAGATATGCGGGGCTGGTGGTCCATCAAGCGAGGAAGGGGCGTATATACTACACTTAGTAAGAGATTGCATTGCATGAGCTTAAATGCAAAATGCAGGTTACCAGTACCAATGGAGTCGAATATTGGGCTCTAAGCTCCCAGCGTCCCTCTAGCAGAGCGCGGCAAATATCTACTGAACCGCTGCAGGCCTCGGTACCCGTTTTGTGTCGAAGAAATGGCACCGACTCTCGGGCAGAACTCTCTTTGCAAAACATTTCATATGACACGGACAGGGCGCATCGTTAAGAATTGTCAGGCTGGCCACATGGGCTGGAGCTAGATTGCAATCTGAAGGAGATCGAACCCGAAAAGAACGTTGCAACTCATCGGCCACCCTTCTCAAGAAGTTGTGGACCCTTCCTCTGAGCCACTGCTAGCGTACCACATGCTAACCGCTGTAACTTTTCTCCAAACGATGAGCCCGTGCACATTGGCACAAAATGACCACAAGTGAGGCCCAGCATTGTCCCCACAGGGCTGATCGGCCTGGCTTTTTGACCTCACTGGATCTGAGGGTCAGATGATTCCAGGACCACCGAGCCAGAGCCAGTGAGGCGCCTTGCAAGTGGATGTGCATCAAATCAGTGTCCAACGCGGGACAATAACAGAAGGGGTTGTGCCTCATGGATTCTTGGTCCATTCTGATCTGAATTTGCGGCTGGTTTAATCTCAATTCCTTCAAAGCTCAACTTCAAGGCCAGCACTGCCAAAAGGCACCACATGCGACTTCTGCAGCCTCCAGCCTGCCTCCAAGAAATTGTCTTATGAAAAGTTCATGGACTGGCGTGTGTCAAGATATTGTTGCTTGACAACTGTTCATGTGAGTGTTCATACATGTTCATACCTTCAGAGGGGTCTGCAATTTGACATCCGGGCATGGTTCCTGCCTTCCAGCAATTCCCGCACGCCCTGCGCACTCAATCATGCTCTGGGCCACCCAACTCTGAAAGTCTCATCCAAAGACCAAGTCGTCATCTTCGTTTGGACCATTGCAGCACATGCATGTGACTTCCATTACCAGTGGCAAAACTGGTGCCACGGAGAGCTTGATCTCAGAAGTTGAAAGGAGGCAAAGCCCTACAGTTTCAGAAGTGTTTTGGGTAAGGCTGGACAACTTTTGTCCATCAGGGATGTCATGTGGCAGAAGCATTGGCTCCCCAAGGCCTTCTTCTTTGCTGCGACGGACACCTGCTAGACAATCTGAGCAAAACACCAACTGAAGGGTTACAAAGGCCACCTCACACCTGGGCTAGGTCGAAGCTTTCCCACCTAGGACCTAATTATCAACCACTATGTGTAGCACAATGTAGCCAACAGGAAAAATCAGTGCTTCAGGGACTTCAGAGTACTTCACGGCCTGAATGACGTCTGACACACCCATGAACTCGTCAAGGACCTGGCGGGTTTTTTCAGGTAACCTGCAGTCTGTTGACCCTCCAATAGCTTCCAATGACTGATTGGCGTCCTCCGGACAACTACCCAACAATAGAGTAGAAGCAAGTATGCCTCAACTCAGCAAGAAAGGCAACCCCCTTCCAGGTCTGAATGCAGTGCTAGCTCACTGTACCGACTTACTGAAACTTACTGTCACAAGCCAAACTTCCTCTCTCATGAAACTCCTTGCATGTCATAGTCGCAGTCCAACCCAAGCAAACTCTCACAAAGACTCTCAGGAGGCCATCGCAATTAGGTTGGAGGCCATCGCTACTAGAGGCTCTCAAATGCTCCGCCAAACCGCTGATTCCGTCCAACCGCTCAAGCGATTCCGTCGCCTCATCGCTGGTGGCCAAGCGATCCACCAGGCCACGGGACTTGGCCTCTGCCCCAAGGAACACCTCGCCGGTGGCCACCTGCGAACCGCAGAAAGCAAAGCGATCCAAGCACAAGCATCACTACGGACCCATTATATAGGTTGGAGGCCATGTAGGGTGGTGCACGAATACAGCAACCTTCATGATAAATGCATGGCGGCATGGCCCTCTTACATCTATGATCTACAGCCTGCAGCAATTATGCATAGTGTCGTTCCTCAGAATCATCCACTCTATCGGAATGGCGTGGAAGCTCAGGGATGTTCTACATTCTACAGAGCTCAATGCCCAAAACCTCAGACAGTCACACCTCAACCGGTCGCCCAGGCATGACCCGCAGAATGCCATTGCCTCATCCACATTGAGGCCACCACGCTGCTCTTGGACCAAGCCTTTGAACGCTTCGTGCACGATGCGGATGTCCTTCAGGAGCCCATCTAAGCTTCCAGGCAGCTCCAAAAATCTTGAAACATCTGGAACTGTGTGAACTGTGCAGTAATATTTCCATGTAGACAGCCGGCACATCGCTGAGACGTTCAACCAAATTTCGATTTGATCTGTCCTAAATTTATGCAGTTGTGACAGTGAGGCTATGAGCCTGGATGGCGGTTCATTGGCTGAAAGCAGTCCTCTTGTGCCTTTTCTCTGGCTTCGTCAGTGACTTCCGAGAAGGGGCCCACTGTTCGCTTCCACTTCCCCGCGGTGAGCTGAATGAAGTCGATGTCATTCCTGCTCAACAGCAAAGGTGTAACAAACCCCTGAGCAGTCCGAGTATGCTCTGGACACCTTCTCATCTGACAATTGTCTGACAATGTCACAGCCAGCTATAAATAAAAATATATATATATAAGAAAAAATACATCTTGACATTGACCTATAGGTAGATTACAAAATTGTATTCCCGCACTTTGACAAAATTGCAGTGTGATGTTGCCTTTTCAGAATCTTGGAGAAATTTGGCGTGGCCATCAATACTCCTCGGCCCGCAAGCCATCGGCCAAACACGCATTACTCCGGCATTGTGCAACAAAAACAATGGCGGCAGTCGACTTGAAAGCTCAACAACTTAATCTCTGCATTGGCCAACGACCCATGATGGAATACTGAAAATGATGCATGGGCAGGGACAGCATGGGCCAAGGCGCTGGCACCTGAAGGAAATCTCACAAAATGTTGAGTGACCACTGCATGGCTCATCTTCTTGCAAGCCAAGGATCCAATTGATCCTACAAGGGAGAAAGGTGTGGCTACAACAGTGTCCGCCTCGCCGTTGGCAGCATTCAAAAATTTGAGAAGCAAGCCTATCGGGACTTTGCTCATTCATCCCGAATTCTATGTTTACACACTCCTTTTAATAGCTCGTGGGACACCCTGCAGCAGGACTAAGTGCACCACTGCGCAGGCCATCCTGAGGCATGTCGGAAATCATCCTAGAAACTCAATCTCAAGCGATTTTCGAGGAGCTACCAAACAAAGGCCAAGCTGCATGTAGCCACCTGAAGCTGCAACCTGCGATGGCAAACATAACCCGCATCACCATCCCAGGATTGCAAACAAAACGACACTTGCTCTGAACTTCGAGACCCAAGAATCAAACGCTGGCTGGCCTTGTCAACGCATGCAGTCAATTTCAACCTTACAGGCACAAGAAGCCGTGGAATGACTGAATGCTGTACACCTTCTCGAAAGGCTTGTCGGCTTCAGAACTCATGATTCTGAATGTGGCATCTATCACCGCAACATCGATGTCCCTCACCCAACAAAGTGACTAGGTTTGCGGCCCTTTAGACCGCAGCCGCAGGAGCTGCGCCGCTGCCAAGCCATAATCTGCCACCATGCCGCCCGGGGAGGCAATCCGAACCACGGCCTCGAACTACGGGTCGGACTACGGGGGCCTTCGGGGGGGGTGGAGAGGTGCAGGGCCCCGTGCGTGGCCTGGTCATGTGGGCTGTTGGCCGAGTGCAGAATGAAGGAGATGATCTCTCGGAGGTCCTGCGACCAGGTCCAAAGCCTCGCTACGAACGGAACCAAGGGCATCGCTGCTAGGACGCTACTAGGGGCGCTCCTGGCCTTACTACTATAGAGTAACATCTAGTAACTAAAAGCTAGCTCGAAATCTCCACGCGGACAATTCCAGCTCCAGATCTCTGAAAGTCCTCAAGCTCCTTCTTCATGCCGTCAGGTCTCGCCATACCTCTCAAGCTGATACCCAGATGGGGAACACGTGCTACATGGATCACGAATCACATGGATGGGTTTGAGCAGTCGAGCCCTATTGTCCGCGCGCACGCGCGCACGCTCGCTCTGGCTCTGGCTCTGGCTCTGGCTCTGGCTCTGGCTCTGGCTCTCTCTCTCTCTCTCTCGCGATCCGCTTCCCTCCTCCCTCCCTCATCTCATGCCTGTCATTGGAGGCTGGAAATCGAACACAAAGGTTCTGGGTCGGAGACGGGCCTTTCAGAATGTTGCCAAGTGCAATCGGGGCAGGCATCACCAGAATATACCATGTTACAGTGGTACCATTGTCTCAGGATGTCCAAAGCAGGAACCTTCAACGTAAACCCGAAGACACTCGACTTGCTTTGTTGGACAGACATTGGGTAACATAGCTGGTCGGATGAAGCGTTGGGTGCAACAAGGGTTCAACAATTTTTGCAAATAGTTTCATTCTGAGCGATAAGAATGCAGTCCCACTTGGCACCTGGATAGAGGACACAGTCTCGCCGGCCTACCGAATCTGACGCACTGCATGAAAGCTTCCAAGAAGTGAAGCATCCACACAAATACGGAAGTCAAACTCCGGCATCCACATGCTTCGATGTTGCATAAGCAAGAGTCTGGGATTTGGCGCTTTGCCACTGTACTTTGGTCGGTCAGCTGGCCAAACTGAATAGGACATCAATGCCGAAGCTCAAGGCAAGAAGAACAGGAAAAATAAGAACAGCAGCAACAACAAGACTGACACCCAAGCGAACACCTTCAACTTTGAGTCGAAAAGCATTTGAAGAGCCCTTGGAAGAACTTTACAGAACTTGAGAGAGGAGGGGGGTGAACGAAAGGTAGCAGGGAATCAGGCGTAATCCGGGAGGAGGTGAGAGGCCCCCCACTTGTTTGAAGAGAAGTGACTGAGCGTGATGAAAGAAAAACTAATGCACAAACTAATCACAATCACGTCACATATTTCTCAAATGCAACTTCGGATTTACATAGTGACGTGCTGCGACCCTGTAAATTGCGTGGCCGCAGGCCATGCTTGCAAACAGGACGAGCTCAAAAACACTGGTACTTACGAGGTTTTGTTGCCGTCGATCCACAGCCGCGGCAAGGTGTAAGGCCACGCTTGAAGACAGGAGGAGCTGAAAACACTGGTATTTACGGTGTTTTGTAGCCGTCGACCCAGAGGCGCACCACGGTTGTGTGCTGGAAAAGCGCAGAAAGCCGTGTAAATACCGGCGTTTTCTGCCGGGAAGGTGCACAAAACCCTGTATATAAATACCATAGTTTTGTGCAATTTTGAAGCCTCCAAAAGCCTCAAAATCCCTTTCCGACAAAATCTTTCCTGGTTTTTGGTCTTTTTTCGGTCATTTTTCTAACCGAGACGCATCAAAAACCATCGGTTTTTGCGGTGTTTTTTTGCCGGACAGCCACAAAAAACGCTGTAAATTCCATTATTTTTTGTCACTGTTGAGGCCCCCCCCGGCCATCAAACGAAGATGTCGGGGACCATTTCTCTGAGAGATAGGCTCCAGCTCTGAGTATAATACATTTTTGCTAAAGCAAAAGGAAAACTCAGGTAGCGTAACCGCTACCTTTCGTGACTTGCACCTTAACAGCCTCTGAGATCTCCTTGTTTCGCTGCTCCAATGCTTCCTTCAACTGCTTCCCCTCCTGGCGAAGGACATCTAAAGATTCAATTGGTTGTGGTTGAGGCTAATCAACATGCTATGTGGGCATGAACGGAAGTTGTCCATGGCAAACTTCCTCTGCCAGGTTCATTCATCTGGGTTCAGCTCTAGCAGCTTCAAGCATTCCAACCCTTCTTGCCTCTTTCTCCTCTGCTTTCTGTGCCTCCGGTGGGTTCGGGTTTGGATAATGAATGATACTGGGAAGGGTGCTATCCTCCATGGCCCAATTCATCTGTTGTCAAATCTCAACATCCTGGACGTCGCGACACACGGAAACGGGAACATCACTGCAGCAGGTACATGTAGTTTCTGTAAACCCAAACTGCACCACAAGCAAATCTATTCAAGCTGCCCTTCTCGACAAGGCATGGGTATCGAATACATGCCATGCTATGCAGCAGAAGAACTTCGTTGATTTGGCATGGTGCACTTGTCAGCTTGAAAATCATTCCCTTATTCTTGCATGCTATGCTACCCTTAAGGTATCTTGCCTTCAGCAGCTCACTTGGCGCTGCCTGGATGCCTAGCAACTCATTGAGAGCCTTGCCAGCAGACGGTGAGGTGGCCCACCTGTACTCCAAAAGGTGCAACCTACTATAGCTGCCGTTGAATTCAGGTGTTTTTTGGGGTTCACTGTATATACTATATATATTATTTATCATTACGTATTCATCCGATATGTGGATATGTGGTGTGTAGCATGGCAATACATTCCACGTTCTGAATCTTGGACTTTGCATGTCAGTCACACCCACGCGCAAACCGCAGCTTGCGTGAGCTTCTCTCTGGCTGTTCCCTTTGACAGTGGGTAAGGCAAGGATGTTGACAGCCAACAGTATATAGAGCATTCTAGCGCTAGTAGGTGAACAGTGACCAACTCTCAAAGCACAGTTTTTGAACGTTCCATGTTAATGGCATATCCATGTCCATATTGTATCATAATATTGCATCTTACCATCTCTAGAAGTGCCCAAAAACACACAAGGAAGACACAGGCCTCACTGATCATAAAGAAACGACTATTCTATCATACCCTATGTGCAAACATGTTCTTGCGGACATGGCCAAGTGGTGTGAACTCAACTACTGACAGTAAAGAGATCATGCACCGGACATCTGTCGCAGCACCATCGGAAAGAAGTGCCACTGCCAATCTACGTGTTGCGAGGGACAAGGCCTTTGAGTGAATCCAATGCCTCTGGCGTCTCAAGGCCACGCACATTTTTCATCTTCCCAGCATTGTGATGTCTCACAGCAACTACTTGCCGCAAAACGTTCATTGGACATATCCACACGCTGCTCCATCCTGGCAGCACTTGGCAATTTCTGCAACAGCGGGCACACGTCTCCGCTGTACATCTGCGCTGCTTCCATTCCGCCGGCAGCATCCATGGACCTAGGATCCGGGTGCATGAAGCCAGCAATGTCAACTTTCCACCAACATGTCCCACAGCCTTCCAACAAACATGGAAGATTCCAGAAGGACTCGCTAATTGACCCCATCGCAAAGGAGCCTGCACCAGGCAAGCTGGCAAAATCGCACCTGGCACTGTCCCTCACTCCCTCTCCACCGCATTTGCGTGCAAGGCACTGCTCTGCAATCTCTCCGAACCTCCGCGCAGATGACCCTAAACAAAACTAACCTTACCACGGAAAGAGATGGTTTGGCGACTGAAAGGTGCTTTTTCCGACTTGTACATAGTCAAGCACTGCAAGTGCGTATTCTGAAATATGTCCTCTATATATATATATATGCACAAGCTGAGTTTCATGAAGCCCGTGCACGGCAGACGAGCTGCGGACGTTAAAACTCAAGCTTCCCAACTCCCCGCTGGCTCTGACAAACGAGGCTCGTGGGAGCATCTCCGCAGCTGCAAAACAAGTCGGCCTCCGCCTTCTCTGTCTTCTCTTTTCGGGCCTTCATGATCTTCATGTCCTTGCGGCCTCAGGAGAGGACAAACTTGAATTGCAGTTGAAGTGGGACTTGCAACTTCTTGCAGCAGCCTTCAAAATCTAGCTCACGCTGCACAAGTCACACCAGAATCCAAGTAACCAAATCCGCAAAGAACACCAACCAAGTTCCACAAAACTGCCCAAGCAAGTTTCTAGAGCGCGCATCTTCTCGTTCTGGGAATGTTTGTAACCTCCGAGGTGAGGACTGATATTAAAAAGCCTTGTGCAAGTCATACTCTTCTATTCATATATTGAAACATCTCCAGCCACTTGAACAGCGCTGGAAAACCTCAAAAACACCACTGGCCAAAGCTTGCACTTTTTGAGTTCCATCCAGCGCACCTCACTTCAACTTCATCAAAACACACCCGAAGTTGCTACGTGATTGACGTCCGTTCGAAAATGATGATTCAAGGATTGCAAGAATTATTCAAGGCTGAACTCTTGGTGCAAGCAGCCGGAAGGTTAGGCATTAGTCCTCACGCAATTGAATAACCGCCCCAGCTGCTGCACTGGAGACCACGAATACTTTGTTCTGGTGCCCTGGCCATCCTACGCACATTGAAAGTGGTGGCGCCTGCTGCAAGCACCCGTGATGAGAGCACTCTCGCAGGCTGAAAGCTGGTCAAAAGCTCTCATTGCTCGCAATGTGGTCTCGGCACCACAAGCTAGTTCACAGGGTACAAGGACACATGGCTTCTTGAGTGAGGCAACGCTCGCAAATACACCCCCAGCCTCGTGCTTTGAGCACAACAAGCTCCCAACAAATTGAACAAATCCCAAAACCGCCGCGAGGGACCAGCAGCTCTATCGAACATGTCCATGCAAGGAAGCGTTACACAATGGAAAAGCTGATAGCCTTTAAGGTCTGCAGCAAATCCTATCAGAATCTCCAATGAGCGCCTGGACTAGCAGAGGGGCCTCAAGCAAGCCTTGAGTGTTCCCAATATGTTTTCCCGACTGGAAGGACAACTCCGGAATCAATACGGTCACCCGTCCTGCGTCCCAAAAGGACTGCGCACCTCTTGAGCACATGTCAAGCACTCTCTGCCCCGACATGCAATCTGGGAATGGAAGAAAGGTGGCAACAACTGGGCGAAAGCTGCAATGGTGTTGGAGCAGTCTCTCTTGACAATGGTTTGTGAGGGCTGCGCGGAAGGTTTAGAGAGAGGCATCAGAATCACTTAAAGCCAACTCACAGGAGTTGTTTCGCTGCGTGTGGTGGTAAAGTCAACCAGCCTTGCTTGGCAGGTTCCAGGGAAGGTCCTGCGGACAGGCGCTACACTACGGCGTTTGAACAATTTTATCTGCCTGACATAATGAATTCAAAAAATGGTATGACCTTCTTATGGATTAAATAGAAACCATAAGCTACTAGTAACAAGTGCATCGCTTCTAGTAACAAGTGCCTTACTAGTAGCAACAATAAACGCAATGTATGACCTTCTTATGGTCGCATCCTCAGCGATTTCACCACGCCTTCGGCCTTCCATTTTGACGGTCTGTTAACAAGACTCAAGGGCCTGTCGCGAGGTTTCAGGCCTATCGCTTTTCCAGGTTTCAGTACGCTTTTTGTATTTCACGGCCGCTCTTTAGAAAACTAACTCAATTGGTCATTGCTGCTTTTGCGGTTGCATAACTGGAGTGTATGTCTGCCAGAGCGGGCATCCACATTCACATCCACATTCCAGAGCTTGGCAGGGACAAAAAGAGTATCAATGCAAATTGCCGAGCAACAGCTGGCACTGTGCGTGTGACCATACGCCTTGCTTGGTGTTCAAAGGGTAAGATGTGTTCCTTAAGTCAAGTTTCACCTGGCCTTGTGAAACAACTTATACGTTTTGAGCTCACCGACTTTGCATATTCCTGGTTTGGTTATGGGCTCCGTCGGGCTGGAGATGCTTGTGGCGCTTTTTGTCGGAAGACTTCCTTGCCACGGGGATGCCGCTGCTACACCCAGCTCCCACTCCAGCTCCCCTGCTCAAATTGCACTTGCGCGCGGTCTGAATGCCACACATGGAAAGGAAGGGGTATAAGTAGATTGGGCTAGAATATGGCTAGAATCTTTTAGAACTATTTCTATAAGCCCCGGCTCCTTTTAGGTTGCACTCCAAATGCGGAATGTCGAGATCAGTTCCCAAACTGCCTTTCGCCGGTGAGGAGTAGTTACGTCAGCAAGGAAAAAGGCGTACGGGGTTCCAACAACTCTTTCGGTGGAGGTGGAGATTTCTTGGCAGCCGTGCTCTTCTGTCTTCACTCCTTGAGCTGAAGGTTCTGCTCACTCGATTGAGAAAGAATCTCGCGTGTTTGCTCAAGCCGCAGCTTTCAAAAGCCAAATGAATGTGCCGGAGTTACACAACTCTCTGGACGAGCTTGATGAATCTTTGATCGTTCTTGGTGCATCGTTTCACTGTCAGACTTCCTTAATTTCAGCAACTTCAAGCACCTCTATGATGAAGAGTGCGCAAACTGCATGCTTTCGCGAAAGCCAAAGCACAGGTTGCGAAAGGTTTGCGAAAGCCCCGCGAAAGCTCCCTATAAGATATAGTGTTGCGAAGGCTTTCGCGAAAGTCGAATTTCCTATAATCCCAATGGAAAATGCATCGTTGCGAAAGAAAACGCAAAAGCCCACTCACACCTTCTGCAAAGGCCAACATGCAGGTCGCGAAAGCTTTGCAAGAGCCCCTGTGAAAGCAAACCAGGACTTTCCAGGATTATACAAAAAATATCAAAGTATTGGCCGTTTTCGAAGCCGCTCAATTGGCAAGTGGGTCAATAAAGCTTACATCACAAGACAAGGCGTCAAACGTCAGATGTACAAGCCGTCACAACTGCCACAGAGCAAGGGGGGCTCATTCGGACGAAACCAAAAAGCATTCACACAACTGAGATCATACAACCGAGGCTATGAAACTCTCTCTGACAAATTCTTAAGGCAGGTGCTGTCAGAATTTGTTTCACGCTTCCGGACAACCGTCGACAGCAGCTTTTGTATGTCGCAAACGCCACCTGCCAATCCTGCCCGGACGTCGTGGGAGGACACCTCAAGAAAGTTCGGATCAAGGCGCCACACGCGTATGCAAGCAAACATCCCAGCATAAAAGGTTCCAGCATCACATGATCAAAGGATGACCTGCTTGATGCATCATCATCCAGCAGGGAGCTGCTGTTTGCCTGTGGTCCACTGTTGTGGCTGTAGATCCCACCACAGGGCGCAAAACGCCAGAAAGCTTGAAGGGCCCTATTGGATGAGTTGCGTGCACAGGCAGGGAACCTTTCACGCAAGCATCACAGATGCTTTAAGAATGTTGAAGATATGCCGGGATGAGGTGACATGCAAGGTGGTCACACTTTTGTGAGTGTTGAACACCTGGTGGAATGTGCTCTTTACACTCCCTGGAGACCGCGTTCCCACATTTGATCTCTCTCTCCATGTTTTCACATCCGGGGACCTCCATTCACGGGGGCTTACGGATCAAGTTCTGAGGTTCATGGCCCAACCAAACGGTTCATGGCCCAACCAAAATTGCTTTCATAATTTACCATATGTCAGGGCTTTTTAAGGGTGTACTGTATAGGTGTATAGCCT